TAATATTCTGTTTTACCTGTAAGAAGTCAAGGATATACATTGGAAAGATGTGATGGGTCTAGTTCTGTGATTGCCCATTTTAAACCTGAAATACACTTGAGTCTGCAGAAAAGACTTGTCACAATATGTATTGAGGAGACTTCATTACTGCCCTGATCCTGTCTCTTAACATTATTTGGAACTTTGGGGTTTCTTTGTCCTCTCTGCAACAGTTACAACCAATAGGCCTTTGTAAAGTGGGGTTTCCTGCGTGTGCTTTCTCGTAATATGCAGTAGTTTTTCTTAACCAGTGAGAGCTTTGGGATAATTTTGCTTAATGCTGGCAGTCAAAGCCAGAAATAGAAAGCAAAAATCATTGCAAAATTCCATGCATTAGCTAAATATTATTACAGGGAAAGAGAGTCTTCATATTTTTGCTTCAGGGTTCTCATCAAACATGTGTCTTGCATTACCTTTTACTAAATATCTCTTTCACTGCTTGTGTTAAACAATCAGGAACAAATTTGGCATGTAGTTTGTTTACTGCTCAACAATGAGGACTACTAAACAATTAGAAAGTTTGTCCTAGACTTCAAGCTGCAGATAATATCTCTAGCTTCCTTTTAATTTATTTTTTTTTTATTTGTTTAAAGCAGAGTTCCAGAATCCAGTCTAAAATGGAGCTATGTATTGTGTCTGAGGCTTTAGATCTTGTAGAGATTGGATTTATCAAACTTTTGTTGTTCTGCCTTTAAATGGCGTCACTCGTCTGCAGCCTGCAGGCCCAGACTATGCAGCTGATTTATTTTGTTTTATTTTTAAATGTGGGAATTGCTTTAGGCATTTATGCTAATATTCATATTTTCTGAATTAGTGTTGTATCGTTACAGCCATTTTATTGGTGCAAACTACAGTATTCATGCAATTGACTGAAATGGGAATGAACTGCATATTAGAGATTAGTATAAAAGTTGCAATAAACCCTAGATTTTAAAAAAAACCAGACAAAACTAGTAGCTGCAATGTAAAAGCTCTATCTGTTGCTGTTCTTCTCCAATTTACCTGACAGTCATGCTCTTTGGAGCTCTTTAGATATTGTTGTGGTTCAGAATTTTTGTAGCAAAGTAACCTATTTTTCAGGGGGACACTTCTTTTTTTTGGTTGGTTGGTTGTTGGGTTTTTTGTGGGTTTGTTTGGGGTTTGTTTGTTTGTTTTTGTTTTGTTTTCCTTCTGATCACTGGCAAAATGTAACACTCAGAAAGTAATTTCTCCTGTCCATCAGCTCACTTTCAGAAAAAGCAGCTTATTTTTTCCTGCTAACTTTTAAGCCAGATTCCTTTTAGAGCAGAGGACTTGCAGGGATTTACTAGATCACGAAATCTGGTCCAAGAGCATGAACAGGAATCATGTTCTAGCCTGCATTATAACAGCATAGTCAATGTATTTGATTCTTTTTTCTCTAGTCGTGGTCTCCTTGTTGCATTTGTAGACCTGATCTTGGTTACTGTCTGAGCTTTAGTTTGCTGATGGGGGATAGAAACTGTAATTTCACAATTTGAAGTGAACATAATAGTATGTGGGTGCTGACACCATGAGAAGTGGGAGATTCCCAAGAACAGGCTCTAGCTCATTCTTGCTCTTTGGGTTTCCAAGAGAGAACAGTGTAGTTCTGCTTCCTTTGGAAAGGAAGTTTGGTCCTAGGTAGGTTCACACCTAAATGCAGTTGCAACATTGTTTTGGGGAAGACCACTTGATAAAGCTATTCTATCCTCAGTTTTCTTCTTTTGATTTGTTTTACTCCTGGACAACATCAGTTCCATTTCTACTTTGTTTTTGCAGAATATGAGTGACAAGAAATGTACACACTCCAGATGAGCTCTTGCTAGTTTGTGGGACTTTTGCAATGGATTTGCATTTGATTTTTAATTCACTTTGTCAGCTTTGGGATAGTTTTCTTGTTCATAATAAAGGCAACAAAGTACTCTCACTTTATATTAACACCATCAAGCTTAAGTTATGCTATTAATATGAGATGTTTCAGACGAGCAATAAGGATAAGAGCTAGTATCAACAGTTTCCCCAACGCCTTCCATACTGACTTCATTTTTTTCAATGTTGTTTGAGTACACAGCTTTAATGAGAAGTTTTTGAACTTTTGTTATGTAAAATACCTCATTGTTCCTTTGTGTTGCTCTGCCTTTTCTGCAGGTATGGTTTGGTAGCAGCACCAGTTAAAGAGATTCTGGTTTTTGTAAATTTTGTATGCACTTTTCTTTTCCTGCTAGAATACAAGATACTTGTTTCATTGTTAATAAAGACATACTTTGTAATGTAGTGGTTAGGAAGATTTGATCCCTACCTTGCTATCCAAGGTCTACTTTATTTTGTAAACTTTTATAACTGCAAAAAGTAAACTGATAGCACCTTCTTTTTACAATAAGAAAATCTCATAATCTTTGACCCAGCTTTATCTGAGTTCCAGGCTTAAATGAAATTTATGTTCCATTTAAAAAAACATTTAGAGGGATGATAGCCTATTAGAAGGCTAGTGCAGGATATCCTGATTATATTTTTCTGAATTACGTTAGTTTCCTCTTTGAATTCAGAAAAATATGACTATCCTATCCTATATCAGTCCATTCAACTTCAATTTTAAATTCCTAATAGCATATTACATGGATTAGACAATTGCATAGGAGTTTCTTTTTAATTTCTGACAGATGTTGTCAATAGCTATGACTTGAATTTAGGTCTTTAATCTTGTTAATATCAGTTATGACACACTTTTTGTCTAATGTTATAATTTTCAGTTAATGAGCAGTAGTTTTACCGTTGTGGCATTCCACCCCAAAAGGGAAGGGAACATGCAGGTGCACAGATGCTGGTGGTCAAAAGGAATTACAAAAGTCAGTAGGTCTGAAGTTTTATTAGTAAATTACACGCTTGTCATTGAAATTGGTATGTTAGTCCCTTATTTTTAGTATAAGCACAGTGGTGGGTTTTGAATAAAGGGGTAGGGTGAAAGAGAAGAGACTGAGAGAGATTAAAGAGAGAGAAAGAGGAAGAAAGAAAGATCACCAGTCCTTGCTCCAGTGTCCACCCAGATAATGGGGTATCCAGGCTCCTGAGGCACGTGCATCTGAGCTTTGTGGGTGTACCTATTTATAGATAAGTTTTCCCTGCTCTAAAGATAAGTTTCTTGCTTTCTATGCAAATTAGTTATCATACAGAGTGCATTCTTCTAGACCTTTCTGGAAATGGGTCAAAGGGCTTCGAGGGTCTTTGGTCATTTTGATCTTCCACTACTGGTTCGGCTTTTTGGTTCATGCCCTTTTCTTGACCTCATTCTTGTGTTTTCGCTGTACTATGTTGTGCTTATCTCCAGAAGCCAGAACAAGGACGTTTGTTCCAGAAAACTGGTGCCCTACCTCCGTATGGTTCCCTTCTCCAGCCACATCCTGTTACTTCTCACAGGGTGTTATTACCACACACAGCTATCCAGCTATTGGTGTTTGATACATATACCCCTTATCTCCTGGGCTTCTACAGCTGTATTTTCACTTCACTGTAGCTAGTTTGGCATGTATGAGGAAAAGAGATGAAATATCTTCATAATCAATGGTTATGAAGGTTTAAGAGAGGAAAAACTAAAATAAAACAATTGGCCAGCTAACCACATCCTCAGAAAACCTATACTGTAAGTACTGTGAGTTTCTCAAGTTTCCTTTCCTAAGCAACTCCAGGGGCATAGTTCTGGTCAGGCTTTTTCTTCTCTTCTACTGCTCAAACATCAGTGTACAAACCTGTGTCTAAAAATTTAAGTGAATCAAAGCTGGCAATGAATCAGTGAATCACAGGGCAAATTTCTTCTAGGCAGTCTTCTGGTTTCTTAAGATGTGAATTGGATCATGACAATTCTTTACTCTGGATAAATTAATTCTATTTTTCTTAATCTCTTTCTACTAGTTATTTCTAAATAATTCTGTCAGTGGGACTGTAGATAATGCAGCCTGTTGATGCTAAGATAGGAACTGTGTAACTTGAAAAAGTATGTGTATGCTTCCTGACTGCAATAAAAAAAGAACTTGAACTTACAGTTCTAATTGTCTGGCTTTTCTTTTTTCCTCCAAGTTACTCACAAAGGTTTTCTTCAGTGTATTTAGTATGGTGTTAAACTCAGCACCCAAGTAGATTAAATATTAACCTCTTCCTTCTACGTAATGGTTGTATCCATACATTGAAAAGTACTTCATCTTGAATCACGTCATTTTACAGATAAGAGCCTTTTTCTGGCATTACTTGCTTATCCTAACAATGATATAAAATTTACATCAAGTTTAATTCAAACAGCTTAGATCTGTGAATTAATTGTTGCTTTTACACTTGCAAAACCAACACGTACAAAAGTCTATTTTGATTGTTGATTTTAACTCCCTAGAGCAAGACCTTTTGATGGCTTGATTTTTTTATATTTTTTTTAATTTGGAAACAAATAAGCTTTATGACCTTTTATATTACTTTAAGTGATCAAAGCAAACCCCAATGTGTACGTGGTTATTTTGATTTTTAAATAAAATTCATATTGGCGCCTACTACGTCAAACATTCAAATAAAATACAAATTCTCACAGTTTTAACTTACATCAAAGATGGAAATCATTGTGTGGTTTTGGAAACCAAAGCAATTCTAAGATAGACACAGTTGGAATTTTTTTTATTTGACAGTGTGTTTCATACACTTAGTAACATCAGTGTGAAGTTGAAAGTGTGTGTTCTAATGAAGGAGGAAGACTAAGGGAACCTTTATAGTGACACTTTAGGATTAAATTCAGCTAAGTGATACAGTTACTTACACCTTTAATGAGTTATTATACAGCAGAAGAAAACTTTAAAACCAATAAAATTCCTCTTTTTAGGTTTGTATATTACAAAGTACTGTTTCTTGAATTTGTTGTTAGTAATGCAAAATATCTTGTACATTTTTCTGCAGATCGCTGATAATAGTTGGGTTTCTTTTGGCAGGTTGTCAAGTTGTTAAGTAACAAAAGATCTCAAGCTGTTGGAATATTAATGTCTAGCCTTCATTTAGACATGAGGGACATTCAGCATGGTAAGTGAAATAACTATTGCTAATTCTCAGATCACATAATTGATAATCTGGAAATGGTAATTATTTATATCTTTTGATATGTAAAATAAATTAATATGAGGCCTTTTATACACTCATTTTTTTTCTAAAAACAGTTTTCTCTGACATTTATTTTCTCCTTTCAGCATCAGTTATATAAGTGGTATATAACATAGACACTTTGAATTTTGGTCTTTCTGAGGAAGAAAGAGTGATATGTTGCTTATTTTAATTCAGATAGCCTTGGGACATATCCAAAAAACTGAATTATAATGTTTAATTTATTTGCTTTATAAAATAGTTTCTATATTTAGTCTAGCACAAACTGTGGAGTTCTTTCATCTTCAACAACATTTTTTATTAAGCAAGATCTTTTGGGGGAGTGTAATAGTTTTCACATTTAAGCTAAGAGACAGTAGTGCAAAAAGGTGAAAAGTGGAATTGCATTTATATTCAGAGCATCCCTTATGTTTCCCATAGGCTTTGGATAGATTTGAAGCAGATTGAATTATCCTGTGAAGTGCCAGCCTATCTATTAAATAAATGTGGTTTCAAGTATAACACAGACTTCATAAATCACAAAAACATCTTGTGAACTTTCTAGGCAACATATTTACAGCCATGCGTTCAGTTTACTGTGATTTGCTTATTTTGTGAAATTATTCATAAATAGAGTAAATTTGAGAGCACTCTGTCAGCTAGTGAGTAACTCTTAATCACAGTTTTAAGTTTTTATTAAACTGTTTTGATGGTTACTAGACTTCCTCAAGCTGAAGCACTTAAGATGGTAGTCATAGAGCAAGGCGCCAGTACTGGCGCCAAGAAGTACTTGGTATTTCCAAAGCTGGCAGATGTAGTTCAGTTAAGTCATAGAGCAAAATCTGAAAACAATGATATGGTCCTTTCCTTCAGTCAAATATTCAGCTTGGTTTCAGTTAATAATGAAAACCTTATGAAAAAAAGGAGTCCGCCTAACATCTGTGTCTGTGGTAAAGCCAACACAAGTTCATTGAAAATTTGCTTGCTTAACATGCAACACTAACAATAACATGGCATGAATGTCAGTAGTTGAAGGGGTCAAACAATATTATGCTTAACCTTTATCCTATTACAGTATTAAGCACACATGATCATCTAAGAGCTGTGTGCAGATTTTGTATGTTCCTCTTTCAATAGCTGTTTTCTAGAACCAAAAGTCTTTGCAAAGGGGAATTTAATAATTCTCTTATTCCCTTGCTGTGCAGAAGTGATTGAACAAATATGAGAAAACTTTTGTCTGGTGGCAGAATTTGGGGAAATGATTGGAAGATCCTGGTGCTAAATCTTTTTTTTAAAGAACATAAAATAGGTATGGAGGAAAAGTGATGAGGAGCAGGAAAGAAATTTGCGTGGTGGGAGCAAGGAAAATAGAGATCTCGCCAGAAGTATTTCTGGCATCAGTCACTCCATGCAGAGCCCTCTCAGTGATCTAACTATAGAGCCCCTGCAGAAATTATAGTATCACAATCCCAAGTGATTGAGCCTATACCTTTATGTGGGCACTATTTTTACTTCCTTGTTAAAAAGGTTTTACATGTTTTTGAGTGTTACAGCGTATTGGTTTGTCTGCTGCAGTTCAAATCTACTAACAAGAAGGTGCTATCAAAAATTCAGATAATGATAAAGAGTGCCTCTGCTAGCAAAAAAAATCAGTTGATATACTTGCGTGTTTATACATTAATATTTAAGTTGTATGACAATGACTACAGAAAAAAAGGAATAAATGTTGTTTGTCCCATGACCCGGGGTTTTAGTAGTGGTCTTGAGTTTTTGCCATCCTTAATGTATATTGACATGTACATTTACACACATCTCACTCAGTACAGTACAAGCAATGGTTTTTTATAAATTTGAAATGCAGTCAAATGAAACTTCTCCCTGCCCCCCTCCAGACACCCCCCAATTTGTGGCACTAAGCAACTTTCTTTATGGGCTCTCTTATAAATATTCTCTATATTAAACACAAAGCATATCTCTGGTCTGCACTGTTCATGCAAGTTGCAGAAGAACTGGGTTTTGGTTTTGTTGTTTTTCTGTTTGTTTTTGTTTTGGTTTTTGTTTTTTTTTTTTTTTTTTTTTTTTTACTGACCATAGAAAAGCATCCAGAAGAGAGAGAAACTTTCAATGCAGTGTGATATTCCATTTCTTGGTTTGTATGTTATTGTGAGGGGTTTTTTCTAGTTCTCTAGAAATATTTTAAAATGGTACATGAACAGAAGGGAAACAAATTTTGTTGGGTAGTAATTCACCTAATAAATTTAGGATTTCAAGTTTTAAATCATATTGTGTTTAGATGAAGATCTTAAAATTTTAAGTTGAGACCTGGTCAAATGTTGATTTAATGTCTTGTAAATTTTCTGTTGTTTGGTTGGTGTTTTTGGTGTATTTTTATTTGCTTTTTAAGATACAAAACAATGATGAAGTATTGTCTGTAAGAAATGATCCTTGATGAAAGACTGTTTTGAAATCTTGAACATGTGAATCATTTAAGATATTTTCTTAACTAATCTTGAACACTTAGCTACTTTTTCATGCATGTGTGATCAGATGGCATTTCATGAAATATCTCATAATATTGAAATACATCCTAAATAGATTTCTTCAATGATATCCTTTTTAAGTGTCTGCTTGTAGAATTTCATTTGTCTGCTTCCTGCTTTGAAAATAGGTTTAGTAAGACAAACTCCCAGACCCTGTCTGCTCTTAAAATATTTTTAAAGTGTGAAAGAAGTAATAATCAGAGCACATTTTTTCTGAACTCTAGTATGTCTTCTAGTAGTGCTTTAAGGTAGGGTAGATTAATTTTTGTTGTTATGGTTGTTTTTTTTAGTAGATTCTAATTGCTAACAGAACTCCCAGTTATTTTATGCAGTAAAGACTAGAACTGTAAGAAATGTTGGTCTCTTTAGTCGCAGTGCCATTTCTATGTTATTAGTACAAAAATGAGTCCTTGTGGTTTCTCTGATTTCACACAAGGTTTTACTGATGCATGTTTTTTTGCAGTCATCTATCAACTGTGCAAAACACTTTATCCAGGCGTTTTGCTTGCTTTTGTATTTTCACTATAAACCCAAATATCCTTTATCCAGTATTATATTCCCACTGGAGATATTGCTGTATTTGGCTGCATGATATGGCCAAAGTTTGAGAAATGCCAAACAAGCACTTCTTTGATATTTTTCCTTTATAGTTCAGATTTTCTTCTTAGAGAAAAGACTTGAGTTTTAACATTAATCTTTTGGGTTTTTTCATAATATTTCAGAGATGCAATTACGCATAAATTAGAGATCCAAAAAGATTCCAGTTAATTTCTTAGAGCAATCTATGATGAACACCCTATATAGTAAAATATAAATACATGTTAAGCCTGTGTCTGTGTTTAGGGACCATGTCTTGTAAATAAGATATCTCTTTTTGTTCAAGTTGTCTGTCAGCACTTGAACAAATGTTTGAAATTGTAACTATTTTGCAGAAAATAGGACTGTCAGGAACTTTTCCAGTCCCCTTGCTTATACAGTTTATTCTCCTCTGTGTTTACAGCTCTCATTAAGTGCTGTAAGAATAGCAAAAACTTCTTCTCTGTGTGTGTAAAAATAGAAGGAAAAAATGAAACCGAAGATGTCAGCCAAGAAAAAAAAAAAATTTGCATTTCAGGTAGCTAGATATTATATTTATTACACATTGAGATTTGTATCTAGGAGTTATTTCCTACATGGAAATTAAGCTCTGCTTCACCAAAATCATCATCTTAATTCTGAGCATGCCTTGCAATTGTTGAAAGTAAAAGTCTGTCAAAAATGACATATGCAGTTCTCTGTCTTTTGAAGTTGTCTGTAAACGTTTCCAATTCAGAAACTTTCTTTTAACAGGGTTTGTCATTTCAGGCATTGTATTGCTGCAATACTCTAACTATATTTCTGTAGGGTTTTGCATACCACATTGTGATTGCCCTGGCTCTGTTGGAAATAGTTTGAAGATTTCTGCCTCTGAATTTTGGACCACCTTCTCATATCCTCATTTAATAAGTAATTTTCCCCCCCTCTCTGAGATACTGGTAATCTGCAGAATTTGATGGAGCTACCTGTCCCACCCTAATAACTGTGGTGGGGGGAGGGAGGAAAGGAAAGCTTTTTATTACAACCCTCAACTCGCTGGTCAGTGGTACTAGAAAAGGAGATTATATATAAGAATGTAATAGGGAACATAGTAGTAGGGAACAAAGTGTAGGCATATTGACCTAACAGCTGGTAAAGACTAACACTGTAATTGGGATTAGAGATTATTTTACTGGAAGTTGTATCTGTGGCAAAGTTTGTTCTGCATACAGCAGTACAACTTTGAACAGTAAAGATATCTTCTGCCCTGAATTCAAGACAGATGTGCAGGAAGTGAACATACTTTAAATGTTAGTAAGAAAAATAAATGTTTATTCTTTAGTATTTAGCTATTAGTGACAAAAGAACATGAGAAAGTCTTGGGTTTGTTTTCTTACTTGACAGCTCACACTGACACATAGAAATGATGAGCAAGAATAGACTTTGTCAAAGGTTTAACTAAACGATTTCACTTGAGAAAGATGATAAAATGTCTCTTACGCTGCATTATTTCAGTGTTCTGTGCAGGAATTATTCACGCATTGAATTGTCATGCAGTCTAAGTTCATGAGATGCTCTACATGGAAAGCAATCCAGAAAGAATGACTCAATATCTGGAAAATAAGACTCAAGATTAGTTTATTTTATGGAAAGTCCAGGGGTGATCTGAGCATTATTTATCCTAACAACAATATATGTGTGTAAGCACAATCATTTGAATCTCATTATACCCATTCTTGACAAATATTTCAGTATCTTCCCAAATGACATTTTATGGTTTAAACAAGTTATAGGAACAAAACAATAGAAGATTAGATCAAGTTTTTAAGCCAGTTATACTAGAAAGGA